GGGGGCTGGGACGCATTCACACTACAGCCTCACGTGTGCGCCACTCTCTGGGTGTGTTCGACTTGACGTGGACCGACTGTGCAGACCAATGGGTGTATTACAGTACCACGAGAGCTAAAGAGAGCAGACTGCTCCGTGCGCTTTCGAATCGCTCTCGCGGATGATCGATCTGCGCCGCACCTCTTCTAGTCGAACACACCGGCTAGTGCTGCAGGCTTATTGGCTCACTCACGCCGATGAGATTAACCCCTTAGGTATTGAAATTTGGTACCGAACGACGAGACGTTTTTCGATACTCGATGGTATCGAGGCAATTCGGTCGGTGCCTAAAAAGTATCGAACTCGATACCCAGCCCTATTCTGCACTGAATTAAAGTGCTTCTATCCGGATCTCGAAGGGCTGTGTAATCAAGGACTCGTGATCGAGATCTCTCCACATGTAAACACACTTGCTCTGACCAAACTGATAAATGTAGTTCAAACGTGTAGTGCCGTTTCATTCCGCTTTTGAAGCACATGTCGTCTGATGTTTCTCATACGCAGCAGAGATGGCAGAAGGGGAGGAAGTTTTGAGTTCTGACAGTTAAAGTATGTTTACACAGCAGAAGCTCTTTCATCTCAACAGATCAGGGCTGCGTTTCTCGATAACGATTGATCTTAGAGCTTAAGAGCGTTTTCTACGAGTCATTTTACGATCGTTCGTTATTGTTTCACGTGCGTTTCTCAAAAATGCACTTAACACAATCGCACGTAGCCGTGCTTTAAGTGCTACTTAGGAGTGGCTATCTGTTTGTCAAGTGCTGAAATGTCACCTTATAGAATGACTCGTAATTGTGTAGTACACGCTCGTTTATTGAAATGTTAACCTAATGCTGATTTCCAGACAACTCGGATATAATAACTATAATACAATATTATATAATAAGTGCTACTTAAGTTACGATACTTTTGGGAAACAGACCGTAATATTAAGATCAGTCGTACGATCGTTTTTACGAACTTCTTAGGCTTACGAAGCTTTTGGGAAACGCAGCCCAGAACAGTTTGATTCCTTATGATACAAGCCTTCTAAAGAAGCACAATTCAATTACAATTCAATAACTTAATAAAAAGTGCAACTGATATTCAGTGGCACATTTAATACAATCACATGTACCTGATAGTACACTGAAGTACAAAATTACATATTAAACTTTAGTTGCTGCATTCAAAGACGCATTTCAACTTGGATGCAACCTCACCTGCGCTTTCTTCGTCTGATCCACCGTCCTCCATCCATTTCCCCTCGTTGGCCAATAAAGGATTCTCTGATTCACGCAGGGTCCTCAGTGGGAAATAATGCCCGTCACCCTGACTATAACATAAGAGCACACACAACACAGAAAGCTTTTTTCATAGTGTTGTTCATTTATGTGCACCGTGGTGTTATCTTAAAATGTATAACCATTTATAAACTACCAAAAAAAGTTACAATTTTAACTTTTTTTTTTTTTTTTTTTAAATAAAGAAGTCTCTTCTGCTCACCAAGGCTGCATTTATTTGATCAAAAAATACAGTAATAAATACAGTAACAATTATTACAATTTAATGCTGCTTTATATTTTCGTGGAAACAGTGATAACTTTTTTCAGGATTCTTTGATGAACAAAAAGTACAAAAACAGCATTTATTTGAAATTCGAATCGTTTGTAACATTAAGAATGTCTAGGGCTGTCACGATTCATATTCATATTGTTAATAAAAGTTCAAAGTTTAATATAAGTACATTTGTCATCGTACTGTTTTATTGTATAGCCTTTTGTATTAGGCTATTATTAATAATAATAATGAGCCACAAACTAAGCATTCGTTTGAAGTAAGGGGAAAACCCAAAAATAAGCGCTGTAGAAGCGAGAATGCGAGATTGTTATTATTATTGGTTTCTCGGTTGTATCTTCGTAATGGCTGTAGAAATGGTCGTTAATTCTTGATTAGGGTTCGGCACAGACATGTTACATGTTACAATATGATCAAAAAGTCATGGCAACAAACGACTTCCTAAGTCAGTTTAAGTTGAAACGACTTTCACAATCAATTTGATTAAACTTAATTCATGTTTTACTGTTGCTTATTGTCACTGTAGGCTATTTTTTTTCTATGAATTTTAATGAATATACAAATTGGTGGAGAGAAACTAACTGTGTTTATAATGATTGCAAACATTTTGCTTTAGTCTACTGGCATTTTAGCCTACATTATTTCTGAATGTAATAGGGCTAATAAAATGCGACGTGAGCCTATACGTGACTTATGTTTTTTTTTTTACTCTCAAAACGCAATCTTATACAAGTAGTGATTTTATTGTTTTAACAATGCAGCAAACATTTTTAAATATCTTAAAAATACTTTAATGTCTTTAAAGTGTTGATAGATTTTTTTCTTTTGTTTAGTAGCCTACATCTGGCCAAAATCTAGAAAAGATGATGCTGTGCAGCGCGTTTATAGGCTAACGTTACTAGATCTCTTCCTGTTTTTTTTTTTCTTTTTTCTTTTTGAGTAAAGAAAACGCTGTACTTTATTATTATTATAGGCAAAGAAAATTGATTTAAAAAAATAACGTTATTAACCGGTATTTCTTCTACCCGAACCGGTTTTGGAACGGTAATAATACAGAGGAACGCATGAACAGAAACGTTAAAATATCGATTCTGCTCGGAGTGAACCGATTAAAAAAAAAAAATCGTTTTCAAGCCCTGATTAAAACTATTTAAAAAAATCATAATAAAGCATAGTGCTATTGTTTAGTCAATATTAAACAAGGATTAGATCGCGCTGTAAAGTGTAAAAACTATCGTCAGGCCGTTGGCGCCATCTGCAGGCAGTTAATATAATAAATAATGTACACAAGTTATGATTATATGGTTTTATTACATTGTATGTAATAAAACATATTACACAAAACATGTTTTATCACATGTATTTTAACTGCTTTGTTCAATATATAATTACCTTCATTCTATATTTTATTGGAACCAATTATTATTGCCTCATTGCTATTATATATGTATTTTTAGTCATTTTTAAGTCTTTTGTTTGCTTGGGTCTATTTTTATTACCACAAAAATGACCCAATTACTTGATTAATCATCAGAATAATCCTCCGATTACCAAAATAATTGTTAGTGACAGCCCTATAAATGTCTTTAGTGTACATTTCGATCAATTTAATGCATTCTCTCATCCTTTGAGAGTGTGAGCAGTTTTGACATGAGCTCACCTTGTGAACACTGGAATAAACCAGAGCTTTTTGTCCTCTCCAAACACCTGCCGGAGGTTTCTGCTGAGCCCAACATTAAAGCCGTTCCTGTCAGGCCCGTTCTGAAACACTGGCGCAGAAAACGCCTCTGAAAAACAGGAACGTTCATTGAGGTTAGACAGTCCACAACAAAAATATGAGCCACATAAATCACTTCTGTTACCCAAAGGTCCAAGAAGTTTCTGCTTCTTGAAGAAATACAATGAAAGGGTAAAGGAGAACCCAGCAATTCAGCATAAGAAGAAAGGCTTTCTTACCTAGCGTGGATCTGTTTTTAGCCACCAACCAACAGTGGTAGCCAAACAGGAACATGAGACTGACAAAAAACATGAGTGCCACAAACAACAGGAAGAGCACGTGGAATTTTGCAGGGCCATTGGGAAGATCTCCCTAACAAAGACATGCAAAGAAACTTTTGAAATGCATAGACTTGACAGCAGCACAACCCTAAGCATTTTTATGTTTCTAAAATACATTTTATCACAATTATATAATTCTACAAGCCCGTGCATTATGTGCATGCTGTTCAAATTCCTGATAAAATTCCTGGTTTTCCATAACCGTATGAACCCTGTCTCTTAAGTTTTACAGTTAACAAGGCTTGCCTAGTATGAGCTCGGTCAAAACTGCTTGCTGAAACTCACCACCCAGAACTTGAGGAAGTACTGAAACACTGTCGATGCAATGAACACGCAGTAGATCATAGAGTAAGACAGGAACAGCAGAAAGAACTTATAGTTGGAGAATCCCACACAGTTGTTCACCCTGAAGAGCACATCATACAAAGATGTCACATATCCAGCATTTCAGAGCGTGCAAAATGTAATGAAATGTTGCTTATGAGATCAGATTAATACAAATAAGATTACTTATTTCATAATATGTGAGCCTGGAGCACAAAAGCAGTCTTAAGTCGCTGGGGTATATTTGTAGCAATAGCCAACAATACATTGTATGGGTCAAAATTATTGATTTTTCTTTTATGCCAAAAATCATTAGGATATTAAGTAAAGATCATGTTCCATGAAGATATTTTGTACATTTCCTACTGTAAATATATCAAAACTTAATTTTTGATTAGTAATATGCATTGCTAAGAACTTCATTTGAACAACTTTAAAGATGATTTTCTCAATATTTAGATTTTTTTGCACCCTCAGATTCCAGATTTTCACATAGTTGTATCTCAGCCAAATATTGTCCTTATTGTCTCAATTTCAAAAAATTGACCCTTATGACTGGTTTAGTGGTCCACGGTCACATATAATAAATTATTATTTACCATGGACAATGGTGATCCATTTTCAAAATGCATCTGTAAAAACACAGGAACACAGATCCTGTAACTTTAATTAAAATAGGGCTTTGGTGTAGAGAGATCTGTTTTCAGGAACAGGGTTGGTGCAGTGCTGGACTTACGTTTCACAGACGGAGCAGTGGTGACAGCGGTCTGGCTTTATCACCTGACAGCGATCACAGAACCTGATAGCTGAAGACACGGAGATAAAGACGATCAGCTGCCCGCGTTTACATCCCATCACACGTTTAGCTGGCAAACACTGCCATTCACAGCATTCTGCCAAATAACTAGACAGCTGCAGCTGCTGTGCAAACGTGAATAACGACAGACTGACCTCCTGACTGAGCGCGCGTGAAGATGGGAAGTTTCTTGGCGATTTCTGCGAGGATCTGCTTCTGAACATCTGGCCTTTCTTCCATCTCATACCTCTCCTTGTCACTGTATGATAAATGGAACTAGAGCGAAGAAATTACAAATTAAAGGCATTCAAAAGAAAATGAAGCCTATTAGAGAACCATTAAGATTTTTTTGCATTTTTAACGACAATCAAGCAATTTTCACCTACAACTGTCATCATTATCATTAAATTCTCATTACTGTAATACAGTATTTACAAATACCACCATCATTTAGAAATGTTTTGAATATTATGTGGTTAATTACCATGAAATCAAATAGTTGTATCTCGGCCAAATATTGTCCTATCCTAACAAACCATACATCAATGGAAAGCTTATTTATTCATGTATTAATCTAAAAAAAAATTGACCCTTATGACTGGTTTTGTGGTCCAGGGTCACACACACACAAAGTAATCAAAGTATTTGGGGTAAAATATGACCCAGACATGTTATAAACAGCTTTTACTCCCACATTCTGATCCTTATAAACACTATTTTAGAAATAAACTCAAGAGTCATAAGCGGAAACCATAAATCACGAGCACCTTTTTAGACGGTGTAGATGGTGGAGTAAAGATGGCCTTCCAATAGGTCCAACAGAACATTATAAAGCACACGTGAAACATCAACAAATACACCACTGTGGAGAAAACACACATTATCACTAGTAAAAGTCATTTTTGTCACACAGAACTAGAGTTGCAAACTTTATTTTTCCTCATTATGTGTGTCTAGCTCTGTTTTTGTGCAATGTGCTGATGTTGCGGCTGTGTTGCACAAAATAACACCATGAGAATATTCCTCAAGCACAACTAGCAATGCTGCTGAATCAACTGAGAGATGACTGACTCTGAATATGACAAATTCACTTCTGGTTTTTAGACTGATAGGCAATGGCAGAGAGAAGTCAGCAGCCACAGGTGACTGTAGAGCACTTGCCTCTCTCCAGATGATTACTGAGGGTCACTGAAAAACAGAGAGCCAGGATCAGTGTCGTCAAACATCATGGCTGTGTCTCAAAACCTTGCGTCTTGCCTAACTCGGAGGAGATGACAGGAACCACGGCCTAGCTGTGGTCACTGAGATGCTGTTTAGTGTCTATAGGCAGGCAGCTCACTAGGTTTTGAGTCACAGCCCATGTAAATAACGCTATAACAGAGGTCTTTGACCGATTTATTTTGCGTAATAACAACAACAATACAAATGAACTGACGAACCATTGATACTTCCTTATTACAGTCGAACAACCTGATTAAATGAATCAACTGTGAAATCTTACCGAAGCACAGTTCAAAGACATACGCGTAATAAGACCAGAGAACCACAGATGAGATGATAATAACAGGAATCCAGGAGAAAATCCTCTGACAACATCTGAGAGCTCTCGACAGAGCCATGATGAGCCCGCTCTGGCATCCGCTAGTACGCCTATCCAAACAACCAGCTCTCCGACATCTGCTAGAAAGCCTGGCGCTTTACCAAACAACGATCCGCTCTGGCATCCACTAGTACGCCTGCTCGCCCGAACTACAATCTGCCCTTGATGAATAACTAATGTATGTCAGAGCAAGTGCACTAAATAGCAGCCCATGACACTGTAGTAGTGAAATTAGGTTTTTCAAAATAACTCAAGACAGTTTTGCTTTGTGAATTCACTGTGACTATGCACACTAAACTCTGAGAATATCTGCCGGATAAAGCCGTTTAAATACAATGAGAACTGCAAAAATTAATTATTTGATAAGTAAATATGTAGTCTCTTATTAATCTGTAGCACCTATTTAGTGTACCAACACTAAGTTTTTAATGACACTTTTACAAACTCAAGACATCACAAATCTGGTTTTTGCATTGTCTTTATGGGGTATCTATCTATCTATCTATCTATCTATCTATCCATCCATCCGTCCGTCCGTCCATCATCTATCTATCTATCTATCTATCTGTCTGTCTGTCTGTCTATCCGTCCGTCCGTCCATCAATCCATCCATCCGTCCGTCCGTCCATCCATCCATCCATCATTCCATCCATCTATCTATCCATCAAGTGCAGGAGGAATGGTTCCTTCTTTAATAATAAAATGAAACAAAAAACAAACTCAAACCACCCCGAAGGGGAAAAAACAGACAGGCAGGCCTAAAGCTGCACCACATGCAGACACGAATCTATCCATCATCCATCATCTATCTATCTATCCGTCTATCTATCTATCTATCCATCCATCCATCCATCATCTATCCATCATCCATCATCTATCTATCTATCCGTCTATCTATCTATCTATCTATCCATCCATCCATCCATCCATCCATCATCTGTCTTTCCGTCCATCATCTATCTATCCATCCATCCATCCATCCATCATCTATGTATCTATCTATCTATCTATCTATCTATCTATCTATCTATCCATCCATCCATCCATCATCTGTCTGTCCGTTATCCATCGGTCTGTAGATCTGTCCACACTTCTTTTCTTCCATCCATCAATCAAGCCATCATCAGTCCTTCCATTAATCCATCCATCCATCCATCCATCCATCTATCTATCCATCCATCCATCCATCCATCATCTATCTATCCATCATCCATCATCTATCTATCTATCCGTCTATCTATCTATCTATCCATCCGTCCATCCATCCATCTATTTTGGTTTTGAAATGCTTTTTTTTTCAGTTTTTTTAACACGTTTATTTAATGATATTTAACGATAGGCCTACATTAAGAAAAATTTCAAATGATACTCCAAACTATATGTTTAAAAATTGTTTAACATATTTTACAGTGCTTTAATCGCTATTATCAGTGTATTACAGTGATTACTGTAGCCTATTACAGTGTTGCACATTTCAAAATGTGTAGATGTTGCTATGAGAGGCAATAAGAAGCCATGGACATATAATTTTTAATAATTCACACGGTAAGAAATGTTTTATGGAACGATTTTCCGGACAATTTTCAAATAGAATAGCAAATTGTATTTTCAATTGCGTTTTCAATATGTGGACGCATAATTGTGACATAATCCAAATGCAATTGCAAATCCTGCATTACCGTTTGCATTTTCGCTTTCGCGAACACACAGTGACTGCCAAATTTCAAATGAAAAAGCAAAGTCCATTTGCAACTGTATTTCCCATGTCTTAGGAGTTACGAGCCTGTCATATTTAAATAGCAATATTAATTACCACGTCTGCTTTTTCACTCTCGCTGCGTCGCGCATGTAACCTGCCAAAACTCAAATGGAATCGCAATTCCTTTTGCATTTGAATTTCCGATGTCTACATGGAAAGCTGCCAATCATCGTCAGGGGCGGGGCTATACTAGGGGGCGTGTTTGTGTTGGGAGGTGACGTCACTCACAGACCGTGCCGAATGCTCTGATCAATGGAGTAATATAGGCTCCGCTAAAGGCAGCTGGCAATCAGTTTCGTACCTGTGTGAACGAACAGACAGTGCAACCTTCTTGGCACAATACATAATTCTGTCTTTTTTACCCCAAATGTAGCGATTATCCCCAGCTAACAGCGGGAGCCACAACGGTACGCACAATAGGTCAATATTCACTATTAACCAAACGCTTTTCACCTGTCTCAGCATCTCTCACTGTTTACACTCACTTACACTTTTAATCCTTAATAGAGAGCGTGTCACACCTGCCTCAAGACCTTTTACCGTTTGCACTCCACTTGATGCACTTAAACAAACAAACAGAGCAAATCTGTGTTAGGATTAGGCTATGTGACATTACATCATATGAAATTTAAGATATACTACTGAATTGACAGAAATAAGAAAGAGAACATAAGAAATTGACTTATTGTTGTGTAATGTAATTATGAATAATTATACAACACAAATGATAGTGGAGATAAAATTCCAAATATTATATATCCAGTTCTTCAGAACTGAACTGATATATGTCATGTCATATAATTATTATGCATTATTAACCATCTACTGTATTACACCAACAAACCTTCGAAGCTTCAAATCTTTCAAGCAAGGCCAATCCTGACATGCTTTTCTATTTCGTTTTGAAACTCAACTAATAAGTATCTTTATTACAATTTAGCATAATAGAGGAATGGTGATTATGTAAACTATTACTTTTTTAAAGACTGTTATTGATCATTTTCACTGCTCTCGCAAAAGTGCACAGTTGTGATGTGCTTTTTTACATTTTTTTACGAAAGCAAAAAGGCACTTACAGTCCTTGTGTGAATGAGTGAATGAGAATTAAAGGAATTCATATGAATTATGAATAAAATGCAGTGGTTCTAAAAATAGTCTTCATTATCTTTATGCATATTTTTCTTTGATTTTATGCTGTCCAGTAGGTGTCCCTGCAAGACTGTTGGACATTATATTAACGTCTAACAGAATTCCTCTGCTCACAGTACTAGCTATTAGTTGCATTAAGACATATTTTTGTGCCACCTATGGGTGCACACACACACACACACACACACACACACACCTAATGGACAGAAATCCCCACTGTATTGTATATTTGCACATGCTTAACCTTCCTACCATTCATTTTATTACAATGCAATGTTCTTCACCTCTTTCACCTCTGCAGGTATCCTGATGTATTGTTGCACACTTCTCATGTAATATTACTTGTAAAGTTACAGCAGAGTCACTGTGTGTGTGTGTGTCTCTCTCTGTGTGTGTGTGTGTCTGTGTGTGCGCGTGTGTGAGTGTGTGTGTGTCTGTGTGTGCGCGTGTGTGAGTGTGTGTGTGTCTGTGTGTGCGCGTGTGTGAGTGTGTGTGTGTCTGTGTGTGCGCGTGTGTGAGTGTGTGTGTGTCTGTGTGTGCGCGTGTGTGAGTGTGTGTGTGTCTGTGTGTGCGCGTGTGTGAGTGTGTGTGTGTCTGTGTGTGCGCGTGTGTGAGTGTGTGTGTGTCTGTGTGTGCGCGTGTGTGAGTGTGTGTGTGTCTGTGTGTGCGCGTGTGTGAGTGTGTGTGTGTCTGTGTGTGCGCGTGTGTGAGTGTGTGTGTGTCTGTGTGTGCGCGTGTGTGAGTGTGTGTGTGTCTGTGTGTGCGCGTGTGTGAGTGTGTGTGTGTCTGTGTGTGCGCGTGTGTGAGTGTGTGTGTGTCTGTGTGTGCGCGTGTGTGAGTGTGTGTGTGTCTGTGTGTGCGCGTGTGTGAGTGTGTGTGTGTCTGTGTGTGCGCGTGTGTGAGTGTGTGTGTGTCTGTGTGTGCGCGTGTGTGAGTGTGTGTGTGTCTGTGTGTGCGCGTGTGTGAGTGTGTGTGTGTCTGTGTGTGCGCGTGTGTGAGTGTGTGTGTGTCTGTGTGTGCGCGTGTGTGAGTGTGTGTGTGTCTGTGTGTGCGCGTGTGTGAGTGTGTGTGTGTCTGTGTGTGCGCGTGTGTGAGTGTGTGTGTGTCTGTGTGTGCGTGTGTGTGTGTGTGTGAGCATCTGTGTTTCCTGCAGTGGCCTGTAGTCTGGACTGTAGTGTCAGCGCTGATGACAGCTTCTCTTTCTCAGGCCGCTGCATTCGCTGTTTGAAGCAGTCAGACATCCGTCAGCACATCGGCAGCCGCACCACTACAAAGAGCTTGTGACTATCATAATAGTAACCGGGTCTCAATCAAAACATTTACACAGGAAAGTGAAACACAAACATTTTGTGTCGGCAGGTCGGGGCAAATCTCTGGTGCGCGGAATGAAATGTGTTTGTGGTTCTGCTTCATACTGCACTGGCAGAGATACTGTAGAGACAGAGGAAGGACAGGGCCGTTTGGAGGAGAATACAGTGCGAGGCTCGTGGTTTGAGGATCAGCTTTAACCCTAAATCAGTTTACTATGTGCTGAAAGATTTTCAGCTGGAGGTCTCATTTTATTACTGTGTCATGACCCCCTGACTGATATGATATCTGATATGAAACAGGGGAGTTATAGTTAACTAAAAACTTTAATTAATTACATTTTTAAAAAGTTAGCTAAAATAAAATATAAAAAAACTTTAGCTTATTTTATTTAGGCTAGTTTCTAAAACTAAATAATTCTAAGTTCTAGAACAGTCACATCTCAACCCAAACAAAGAAAAATATAAAGACTTTGTTTGATTGTCACATTATTTTCATGGCTATTAAGTGTAATTCTCCTTATTTTAATGTGTCCTGATGTTTCACCTCTGGGTTTTATGGTAATTTTTATTATTCTCAAGTCATGACTGTCATTTGTGATACTTTTATTTATTCATTCATTTAACCATTATTATTACAATTGCTATGTGAATAAGGCGCATGCATCAATTTCATTTAGATATAAATTCAATTCTTTTGATTTTCGGTGACAACATAAGCGCTGTGCATGTTGTCGTTTTTTTAAAGTTCTGTAATTTTTATCTGTTATTTATCAGTTGAACAAAGGTGGGTTTTTATGTGTACAGATATATGCAAGAGTCTTAATGTGAAATGTAATGAACTGAGTTCATGAATGA